AGGCAACAAAAGCAAAAATAAGCAATTGAAAGTAAATCAAACTAAAAAGCTTCTGCACAGGGTCGCCTGAGTGGCTCAGTCGGTTAAGCGTCTGCCTTCGGCTCAGGTCGTGATCCCAGAGTCCTGGGGTTGAGCCCCGTGGGAGCCTGCTTCTCCCTCTGCCTGTACTCCCCTTGCTTGTGCTCTCTCTGTCACTCTTGCTCTATCTCAAATAAATAAAATCTTTAAAAAAATAAATAAAAAGCTTCTGCACAGCAAAGGAAACCATCAATGAAATGGAAAGTCCACCTCTGGAATGTGAGAAAATATTTGCAAAACACACATCTGATAAGGGTTAATATAAAAAATATCAAGGAACTCATACAACTCAATAGGAAAAAAAAACAACACCCAACTAACCCAATTTAAAAATGGACAAAGGACCCTAATAGACATTTAGTCTGAAGAAAAAGGTCAATGGGTACATGAAAAGACACTCGACATCAATCATCAGGGAAATGCAAATCAAAACCACAATGAGGTATCACCTTACACCTGTTAGGTCTGTTTTAGGAAAGGATGAAAGAAAAGTACTGGCCAGAATGTGAAGAGGGAACCGTTGTGCACTGATGGGAATGTAAATTGGAGCAGCCACTATGGAAAATAGTATGGAGGGTACTCAGAAAAATTAAAAATAGAACTACCGTATGATCCAGCAATCCCACTTCTGGCAATGTATCCAAGGGAAACGAAAGCATTATCTAGAAGAGATTTCTGCCCTCCATCTTCACTGTAGCGTTATTCTCAATAGCCAAGGTATGGAAACAACCTGGGTGTCTGTCGATGGAGGAATGAATAAACAAAATGTGGCTTATATGTGCAGGATAGAATATTATTCAACGGTGAGAAAAAAGGAAATCCTGCCATTCAAGACAACACTGGATGAACCTGCCGGGCATTATGCTAAGTGAAATAAGCCAGACTAATACTGTGTGGTAGCACTTATAGATGGAATCTTAGAAAACAAAACCAAACCTTATAGAAACAGAGTAGAATGGTGGTTGCCAGGGGTTAGGGAGTGGGGGAAACAGAGAGAGGCTGGTAAAAGGATATAAGCTTTCAGCTATAAGATAAATAAGGTCTGTCCTGCTTCTTACTGTTACCGCTCGGGCCGCAAAACCAACGCTGAATGCTCTTTTCTGTTTCCCCCCCTTTTCCGTAAAAGTGAAATCGACTTTGATTCCTTTCGTTTAGTGAACAGGCACTAATGTAGGTTTTGTGTAAAAGTGAAGTGACGTAACTTGAACTTTTGAAAAGCAGGAGATACCTGGATGTGTCTGTCTCTTCCGCAGGTATTAGGTGCTAGTGAGAGACCTGAACAGTCTCTGCAAGGCTACAGCCTTCATCTCTGCTGAAGTTTAGGTCTGCTGTCAGGAAGGGAAGCGGGAAAGGAAGAACGGGCGTGAGTGAGGACAGACTGGAACATACCTGAGTCTCTCCCTGCCTCCAGCCCTGATGATGAGGGGGGGCTCCTCCAGGAAAAGCCGGTGTACTTTGTCAGAGCAGGAGAGACACACCTGGAGCTGGGGGCTAAAGGAGGACCCCACACCAAGGAGGGGACCCAGCAGATAGGTGACCGCCCCATGCTGAGTTCTGGAGCATACATAGAATGCCTATTGCTTCACTCCCACCTCCCCACCCGCAAATCTCAGGCCCACCTAAGACTGGGGACCTACAGCCCAAGCAAGCTGACCTATTACAAAGCCACCACACCAGCGGTGTCAAGAGTTGATAAAGTGAGGGGGTAGGGACGCAGGTGTTTTATGTTGTTGAAATATATTTCATCACTTAAAAATAATTCAAGGATGTGAATCCGTTTCCCTTCCTTGTAGAACTCCTGGGAAAACAACGTCAAAAATCTACTCCTTACCCGAAAGCGCTGACGTTTTGAAACCAGTTAGAACCTCATGTAAACTAGTAGTCTTCCCAGTGAATAAGTTAACAGGCCAGGTGGAAACGAGCCTCGTGATTCCAATTTCATCTGTCGTCTTAGGTGTTTGCAAAGTGATACCATACCTTCACGTTAGCAGGAGCGATATAAGATAGGTTTTTGCTGGAAATTGGATTCCTGAGTACTCATTACACAAAATTAAACTGCATCGTCCCACAGAATTAACTATGCAGTTTGTCAACGTGAACAGAACTTCCCATCTTTGTTGTTTTTCCTATGCTTTGTTTCTGAGCTGGGAATAACAGGTGAAAACCATGTATTTAAAAATTAATGTCAATATTTGGTAATGTGCGAATGCTGAGGCAAAATACCCAATAATTAGGGGCGCCTGGGTGGTTCAGTCGGTTAAGCGTCTGCCTTCGGCTCAGGTCATGATCCCAGGGTCTGGGGATCGAGCCCCGCATCGGGCTCCCTGCTCAGCGGGGAGCTTGCTTCTCCCGCTGCTTGTGCTCCCCCTGCTTGTGTTCTCTCTCTCTGTCAAATAAATAAATAAAATCTTTTTAAAAAATACCCAATAATGTTTGAAGTATTTTAATAATTCTTATTATTAGCTTCAGCTATGAAGCGCATTCAGGAAACTGGCTTTCAAATCACATTCCATTAAATTATAAACTACCGAACTGTAAGTCAAAATTACAATTAAGTAAAAAGAGTTCAAATTAAAACCACTGTCGCAGCCCTATTTTATAAGCAAGTAGGAAAAACAGACTTCTGTAACCTATCATGCACTCTAGGCCCTCTTGTCAAAGCCGAAATACATCATTCCACTGCTGAGAACATCCCCTTCTTGAGGTAGGATGGTGGTCATTGGCAAATTAGCTAAAAATCGAGAAAGCAAGCACAAAAGTAAAGTTGTTTGCATGCTTGTCAATCCCTTTTCCAGATTGTTACAATTTCAGGATTTTGTTTCCAGTTTTGACTCTGGCTATGTTATATTTAAAATTTTTCCTCAGGGGCGCCTGGGTGGCTCCGTTGGTTAAGCGACTGCCTTCGGCTCAGGTCATGGTCCTGGAGTCCCGGGATCGAGTCCCGCATCGGGCTCCCTGCTCTGCGGGGTGGTCTGCTTCTCCCTCGGACCCTCTTCCCTCTTGTGCTCTCTCTCATTCTCTCTCTCTCTCAAATAAATAAGTAAAATCTTTAAAAAAAATTTCTTTTTCCTCAGTATGTAAAAATATAAATGAGTCCAACGAAATGAGTAGAAATTTCAGGAACAGAATAGTATGCAGGGCTTTCATTCATTTGAGTGTGGGATACATCTTTGGCATGAAAGTTTTTTTTAAATCAAAATTGTTACTTTGGCTTAGTGACAAAAACTGGGTAAATTCTACATCTGTTTTTCATTTCCCTAGTTACTATGCTCCGTTTCTTCAAAGGCCTCCGTCTTACCGTACTGTTCTGTAATCCTTCCAGCTGGAGATAACCGGTGTTTAACGTTTTGTTATGAACCCTTTCTCTCTTTGGTTAGGTACATACTGAATAAGACGCACTTAAAAATGAATTACTTTGTACCAAGTCTGTATAATGACTAAACTCGGGTAATTTTTGAAAACATTTTTTTTTGTTTTCAAATTATACTTACCAAACATTTGGAAATGCTAATGTCTCTGCAAAACGTAAACTTAGAAAAATAACCAGAAAAATAACTACTATATTCAAATGCCCAGAGTTGTTGTTACTGCATTTAGGGGTGGAGTTATGTGTTGCCCACCCCCTCACCAGCACACTCAAACATCCAAACAACATAATTTAAATCTACTATGAGTAAAGACAAGGTTGTTTCATGTAAGCATACCACCTGACAATTCTTGGGTGGTAAATACAGAGAGATGGCTCCTTTTGATTGCTACTTGTCTTTTGAGAGCGACTCAATTGAAATTAAATTCCTAAAACTGGGTTGGAACAATATAAAAGCAATGTACCTGACATGGGCAAATATGATTGGACTTGTCATTTTGAAACCGTAGAATGAATAAAATTCATGAATAACTGACCATAATCCTATCTGTGGAAAATTTGTGGCAATCTATCCTTTTGTAGACATCCATCTTCTTCCAAGCATCTTCCCCAAGACAGGACATCAGTATGACCCGATGACACAGTGTCCCCTGGGTGCTCCATATAACCCCTCCAGTCATTATCCCTAGACAGATGCCCTAAGTGACAGAAAAGAAATAAGAGAAACTGATGATCTTCACCTAGATTAGGACGATGTTGCCTCTGCAGCTCCAATGGATGATGGATGATTGCTTAGTCAATTAAAAGCTCATGACCCTTATTTTAAAATATCATCATTCACCTGGCTTCTCCGAGGTGCATGGTGGCCAGATCCCCCCGGAAAGAGTGGGGCAGGCTCGCTTTGAGGTATGTAGAGCTGTAGCAGGGATAAAGAACCATTGGCTGGGTAAAGCTAATGGGGAGATGTGAAATAACAGAAGGATCAGAGTATCCGTGTGTGGCATGGAGGTGACGGCAACACGTGGATTGTCTGAAGAATCAAGGCTCCAAGCTTGCCAGTATTGGTCAGAAAGGCGCTCTTGCTGTCTTTATTTTGTGCGATTCACAGATGCACCTAGTCTGACGGTGCCATTTGTTTGTGACTTTTTTTTTTTCTTTCCCAACCTGTTTTCTCTGTTTGCTGGCACACCCCACTGTGGCTGGCCTAGTGCTTAATAGGACCAGAAGTCTTTCTAAAAGCCTTCAGCCCCCAAATTGCTTTCATCCCTGTACCTTGCTGAGAAAAACAACAACACCACACCCACACATCAGCAGATGATGAGAAATGTATCTTTATTGGATGAATTTTAAAGGCGTTGTCTGCCGAGGGCCTTACAGGAGTCATCAGGGCATACTGACCGCTGAAAATTCATGAATGACTGTCTTATTACCTCGCAAAAACAGGGAGCAAATTGCAGAAGCACTTCGGGGCGGGGGTGTGTGTGTGGGAATGAATAAATTAGGGGGAGAAAGGGGGTTTCCCATTCCCTGGGCTTTGGAGGCCTTCCGGCTGATTGTCTCTATCTCCACAGCCTGGGGCTTTTAAGAATGCACCATTTCCTGGAATTCTAGAACAGAAGAGGCGAGAAAGCATCAGTGGGGATGGCTGGGTATTTTTACAGACGTGTGGTGGCCAGGGGGGTTCTGAAGAGGAAAGGAAGCAGATTGTCAGATGATGGGCTTGGCCCCTCTAAGGACACAAAAGGAGACAAAAAAAAGTGTTACTGACCGCAGATGGAGATGGTCTATAGTGTCCCATCTTCCTGCATAATCTAACAGACATCTTCCGCTTTGCAATAGAGCTCCTTGTATTAGAACTTGTGAGCCCAGCAATTTGTCTCTGACAGTGCATGGATTTGGTATAACAGCCTATTGCAATCTGGGATTGCTCAGCTCTCTGTCTGGCTACTTTAAGACAGAGATGGGGGGTTTTCTTCCTCTTTTCGGAAGCTACATTGTGCAGATGTAGGAAATAATTCATAGGGTGGGCCTCGGAACTCACTTTTCTCTGATGAACTCTAACCTTACCCCCAAGAGTTTGTATTACTAAAAGACGATGGTGGTAACGGTAATGATAAAAATGAGTGGATGTGACTGATTGAAATGGAAAACTGGGGTTTTGCTTTATATTTATTGGTACACTTTGCCTATCTGGAATTTTTTTTTTGTGGTTAGATTTAAATAAATCAGCCTTCTCTTACCTCAACTATTTTTCTGAGCTATCTACAGAAGCTACATTAACTCCTGTGTAGCAAGTTATAGTGGTATGATTCTGGGTAGGTTTTTAAAAGGAGAATCTAAACAGGCGTTCCAAATTTCGTTAGTACCACCATAAAGATCATGCATAAATTCTTCTGAGTTGGCATGCACAGGGTAGCTAAAAAGCATGTAAGCCGCATAACTGAATGGGATGAAAATCATCCTACAGCTATGCAGCTATATTAAACTTGAATTTGGGCTCTGCACCCAAAAGACTCCATACGGGGTGTTTGATCTACTCTAATATTGTCCACTCGGTGGGCTAATGTCCAATAAAACGTGTTTGTTTGAACCCTTGAAAGCTAAGAGGCTTTCCTCCTCAAGTCAGTAGACATTTTGATAGGAGACACAACTTGACAATGTCAATCCTTCCCTTATTCAGAAGGCCTATAAATCCCAGTGGTAGAAATTCCTTACATTATTGCCATGATGCATTAGGGTGTCTTGCAAATCATTAGCCAGGCCATAGCCAGTCCCCTGGTCAGGTGAAGGGTATTTTCTGGGTCATAGACAGTGACTCACAGGACCAGCTTCTAGGGTATATCATTGATATCCTCACAGTGGGTCCATTTTACAGATGAGAAGGCTGAAGCTCAGCAAAGTTAAGAAAGGGGGATTTTCACTAACCACGTCTGCCTGCTCTCATGGCCCAAGTCCCCCGGCTTGCTTCCAGAGCTAAATTCTTTTGTGCTGGGTACAGGTGTGAACATACCATCAGCTCCAATTTTCCCATCACCATCATTGTCTGCAGCCGCCATCAAGGACTTGGTTTCTGACTCTGTCAGCTCTCTAGCACTGCTCTCGAACTTCTGGAGGAAAAACCTGCAGGACAATCAAGATTGATGGGAATTTTCTGAAAGAACCCCGTGTCTCTGTGCTTACCCTTTTTCTCTCGAAGCAAACCACCTGTCCCCCGCCATTGCGATATTCTGTCAAAGGTCTTCACAAGCCAAACTTGCCTTCCTTGTAGCAACTACGGGTGGGCATTTTGTTTTTAAAGGTTGTTTTTTTGTTTGTTTGTTTGTTTTTTTCAGGGAGCTGCCTGGGTGGCTCAGTTGGTTAAGCGTCTGCTTTCAGCTCAGGTCATGATCCTGGAGTCCTGGGATCAAGTCCCGTGTGGGGCTCCTGGCTCAGTGGGGAGTCTGCTCCTCCCTCTTCCTCTGAGCCTCCCCCTGCTCGTGCTCTCTCTCTCTCTCAAATGAATAAAATAAATACATTTAAAAAAATTTTTTTTTTCAGATTTTGTTAAGTCCATTTGCCAAAGAAAAAAACCTACAATGAATGCAGTTTTGCACCTACAGTCTTCAGTGCCTGTGTCTAGAGCTTCACAAGGATAGATGCGTGGCCCGCTGATTCATGGTCTTCCCTTTCATGAGGCTCTGCAGAACAACCAGTGTCAATCCTGGCCACTGAAGAAATACTGACCAAACTGGCTTCCGCTGCTTCCAACCCACCTAGCAATGTCAAGGGTGCCACACAAGCTCAGGACAAAACTCACTTAAGCTCTTCTTCATCCAGATATCCACTCTGGTCATTGTCTATGAACCGAAAAACATCCTTCACCTGGCTGGCCGACATCTTGGAGAGGCCTGACGTCTGGAAGAATTTTTGGGGTTCGAAAGTATCTGGGTCTGAAGGACAGAGAGAGGATTATTCTGAGGCTCATTGGGTCACATTCTGTATTTGGGCCAAGGTGCTGTAAGCATAGGTTATCAAAACCCCTCATGGGGCGCCTGGGTGGCTCAGTTGGTTAAGCGACTGCCTTCGGCTCAGGTCATGATCCTGGAGTCCCAGGATCGAGTCCCGCATCGGGCTCCCTGCTCAGCAGGGAGTCTGCTTCTCCCTCTGACCCTCTTCCCTCTCGTGCTCTCTGTCTCTCATTCTCTCTCTCTCAAATAAATAAATAAAATATTAAAAAAACAAAACAAAACCCCTCATGATATCGAGCTACAGGGATGCTCTGTTCTCAGTTTTTAAAAAAGATGGGGCACCTGGGTGACTCAGTCGGTTAAGCATCTGACCCTTGATTTCAGCTCAGGTCGTGATCTCAGGGGTCATGAGATTGATTCCTGCACTGGTCTCTGTGCTGGGCGTGGAACCTGCTTAAGATTCTCTCTCTCCCTGTCCCTCCTTCCCTTTCTCTCTCTCTCTCTCTCTCTTAAAAAGAAAAGAAAAAGAGGGCTGTGACTAGACTAGTGCAAGCTGTCACCGCAGCCAAGACTGGGTGGCTTGTGATAGCCTCTCTTGTCTCCCTCCCCACCTTTCCTGTCGGCTTTTGTCTATTCCCCTCTTTCTCCTCTATGCCTCCCCCTACTGTGTTTACAGGCTGTGTGTCCGAGACTCCAGTAGTGCTGGTCTAGCTGGGGAAATGCACTCATTGCATTCAAACAGGCTACATGGTATCCACACATTTCTTTTTTCATGTTTAGTAAGTTTCTTTCCCCTTACAGCAATGGAATCCTATGCTCTACAATTGTAGTTCTTTCGCTGATAACGGTTTTACTCTCCGATCCCACGAATTTTCAGCAAAGTTCACATTTTAATCTTTGCGGCTTTGCTGGCGGCGTGAATAGCTGGGAAATACCCACCCCTGCCCCACTGCCCTTTACCTTGGCACTCCTGCAGGGCTGCTGCAATGTCATCGGCGCTAAGGACATCTGTGATGCTCATTTTCCACCTAGTCACACGATAAACGAGATGTGGTCAATGGCAAGCAGGAAGATGCACATCTAGGGGCACCGTGCCCTCCTAGGCCCGCTGAAACTGTATTTGTGGGGAATTTTTAAATGTGATAAGCATGATATTAAGTGATGGGACAGAAGAGCCACATAAAAACCATAAATTGAAAAGATTCCAGCCCCCTTTGTCTCAGTGCCTTCTCCTGAATATTCTTCAAAGACAAAATTTAAAACTACAGCCTAAAGAATGACTTGATTCCATTTTCTTATAAAAATGGTATTTGCACAATCGATCACTTACATAGGCCTCTACAAGACATCCAGAAGTAAACCATGTTACAAACGCAATGGTATTTTCATACACTGGAAATGCAGTGTTGTCAGTTCCACGTGGGAAAGGATACAGCTTGGGCTACTTGGACACCTTCTATGGAAAAGATGCTCCCTATCCTGAAGGATGGGGATCAGAGACATGGAAAGGCCCTCTACCAGATATCAAACAGACTCGTTTCAGGTGTCAAGTCCATGGGGAAAAAGAAATCTGAACACAGCATGCACCACCTAACATGAATGCATGTAGGAAAGAAGAGTCTGGGGTCTTGTAGGTCCACCAGCTACTTACCGTTTTAGGTTTTCCCCCAGGAAGAATCAGGAAAAAGAGTTGAAGGAGCACAAAACAGATGTGCTTTTGCTACCTTACTGACTTACCTTATATAGGATTGAAAAAGTGATAGTAAGAACCTCTTAGATTTCCTTTTCAAGGATCAAGTAGACATAGCTCGAATGTCTTGCCTTCTAATTAAACCTCTTTTTTTTTCTATTTATATCACAAGGGAATGTGGGTGGGAACAGCCAGTTTTTTAAAACAAACCTCAACAAACCTAAACTAAGGGTTCTGCTCTGTGAACGAAGCCCACAAGTGGTGTGGAGAAGACCAGAAAGCTGGTTAAGAGGAGACGGTGGCCAAAATGGGGTGGACACAAATGGGGGCATTCTGTAAACTGAAAAGGGCCCCCCAGGTGTTAGTGGCTGTTTGAAGCAGGCTTGCTGTTACCCCCTGAAGCTGTGGGAGTGCGAGGCCGACCTTGGTCCAGAGTTGACAGACTCAAAATCAGTGTCAGATGGACACATAGACTCGTCCATCAAAGGGGTGGTGCTGGTTGGACGACTTTCCAAAAAAGTCTTGACTTGGATTTTCCCGGTGATATCTTAAATCGCACGTACTAAAAAGGCAAAACGGAGGCAAGCAATCAACCATTCCCAAAGCCCATATCTAAAATGTGCAGGAAAAACGTGAGGCCAGGATTTGAGACCTCAAGGTTTTTTTCCTTTTTGTCTGTTTTTGGCTTTCAGCAAATATTTGTTGAGTCCTTATGTAGCCAGCGCTGTGCTAGACTTTTTTTTTTTTTTAATTGTGGTTAAAAAACCAAGTAACATAGGGGCGCCTGGGTGGCTCAGTCATTAAGCGTCTGCCTTCGGCTCGGGTCATGGTCCCAGGGTCCTGGGATCGAGCCCCGCATCGGGCTCCCTGCTCGGCGGGGAGCCTGCTTCTCCCTCTCCCACTCCCCCTGCTTGTGTTCCCTCTCTCGTTGTGTCTCCGTCAAATAAATAAATAAAATCTTAAGAAAAAACAAAAAACAAACAAAACCATGTAACAAAATTTACCATTTTAACCATTTTAAAGTATACATAGTGTTAGCTATATGCACATGGTTGTGCAAGAAATCTCCAGAACTTTTTCATCTTGCAAAACTGAACTCTATGCCCATTGAACAAGAACCCCCCACCCCCCCCCCCACCCCCCTGGCAGCCACTATTCTCCTTTCTGTCTCTGGTGGTTAGACAACTTTAGACACCTCTTATAAGTGGAATCTTGCAGTATTTGTCTTTTTGTGACTGACTTATTTCACTTAGCATAATATCCTCAAGGATCATCCATGTGGTGGTGTGTGACAGGATTTCCTTATGTTTCAAGGCTGCATTCAAGTTCTTTTTAAAAGTCAAAAACCAATCCCATGTTGCAATCAGAAATAGTCTGTGGCTTCGAAGTAGACAATTCAGGAGCTTTAGACTCTTCCTTGGGTAATATCATTGGGATGGTCATCTTTAGTTTGTCCCCAAATATATTCCCCTACCTCCCTCCACCCCACCCCAGTGGTGTACTTTTGCTGGTGTCCTCAATGAGAAGTTTCTCTCAGGAACACCTACAGCATTGCTTGGTTACCAAACGTCAGACCGGCACCATTCCTGTCTTGCCCACAGGATATGCCCCAATGCCTGGCATAGCCCCCAACCTAGTTAGGTGCTCAGTAATTATTTGATGGATGGATAAATAAAAACAGCAACAAGAGCTTGAAAACAGGGTTACCAACCCTCACCATCTTGCCCAGCCCTTAAAAAGCAGTTTCTGAAAGCCAGGTGCAAGAATGTAGGTTGCTGACATCAAGTTGTCATAGAAACCCTGTTGAGTCTTTTCTTTCCGTTAGTGTTCAACAGGGGCAGAGTTTTGGTTTGAGAAGGTGAGAAGTGTTCTGGATGATGGTGATGGTTGCACAACAGTGTGAATGCACTTAAAGCCACAGAGCTGTACTCTTCAAGATGGTTAAAATGTTAAGTTTTATGTTATGTGTATTTACCACACACACACACACACACTCACAAGATGTTGATTCAGTGGTCTACATTATTTTGGCCACCAATTCACAACTGCTCCCAGGAAAGAGTAGAAAGAAGATTTCAAAGTAGAAGACCTTAAGTGGAACCCGTTTGGTCCTTCATCAGCCTCAAGACTCCGGGCCTCAGTTTCCCCTTGTAGCAAATAGGAATAATGCAGGCAGTGGTTCTGTCAGCTTCCCGGGCTTCTTTTGGGGATCAGGGGACCAAGTGCAGATCTGCAGACCTCTGGAGGAGTCTTGGAGTCCCCCACTGAATCCCACCCCTGTCCTGGGATTGCAAGAGGATTTCATCTTGTGTATCCAGCCCACTCGATTGGTCGGGATTTCCAGGAGAGGAAGGAGTGGACTCTGGGATCAGCTAGCCATGTCTGCAGGGAGGAAGACTGGCAGGGTGAAGCCAAGAACTTGGCGAACCTGGCCGGGCTGTGTATTTGGATTTTGCTACTGCCAGTGAGTGGCCCTGGATGCTCAGATGACACTTCTGTTTCAGATATCTGATGCGGTCCCCAGTCAATCACCTGTTTCAATCCACATCCCCAGTGTGCCCCTTAATCCTGCAGACTTCCTCTATCCTGAGCGCCCACGCTGGTCCCTTGCTGCGTAGCCCTGTGACGTCTCTCCAGCTATGAGGGCCTGACCCCTCTCCTCACCCACTGGCCTGCCCTGGTCGTCATCAACCCATAACGGCAAGCCTATGGCTCCAGTCTTCTCCCACTGCCATCCTACAAGTCCGTCACTGGCTTCCACTTGTTCTTACAGTAAAGACAAAAGTCCTTCCCATGGTCTTAAAGGCCCTGTGTGATCTGTCCCCTTGGGACTCCTCCAGCCTCATCTCACACCATCCTTCCAGCCGGAAAGTCCCTCAGCCCCTTGACTTACCCACCCTTTCTCCAGCCATGTCTCCTTGTACTGTTTCCTTTGCCTGGAATATTCTCCTTCCTCCTGACTTCGGTGTCTCATACATAGGCTTTGCATCTCTGCTCAGGTGTCACTTTTTCCAGGAAGACTTCCCTGACTCCCAGACTAGCCAGACCCCCACTTCACTGGATGAACAATGACGTTTGAACCCTATGCTTCTCCCTTACAGCAAAATCACAGCTGCACGGGCCCACTTGCTGTGATTGCTTGAATAGTGTGTCTCTCTGCTCACTGGACCGTGAGACCCATGAAGGCAGGTGGAGGTCTGTGTTTTCACAACTCTGTACCCACAGTGTGGACATGAATGAAGACCAACCAAATGAGAACAGGCAAAGGCTATTAACTCAGACAAGGGAGTGAGCCACCATCACCTGTGTTTGGCAGAGACTCAAAGGCAGGCAGAGGAGCGGGAAAGCTTTATTATAGTAGAAAGAAGAGAGGGTTCACATATGCCCTGATAGGGGAGTGTCCACCTGGGAAAGCTGGAGGCAGGCTAATAGAAGCTGAACATGCCCTGTGATTGAGCAAGGGAGCATATTCGTCTTCCTCTGTTTGGTCCTGCGTTGAAAGCAGGAATAAAAATGAAGGGAGCTGTCAGTTACGATTTAAGTCCCTGCTGTTTTGGGCCAGTCATTGCAGAGGTTGGTGTTTGGCTTCTTGGATGGCTTGCTAGGGACAGTGGTCCGACTCCCAGAAGCCTGACTCATGTACAGCAGGCTGGCTTCTGGGGCTGGTTGCGCAGAGAGCAGGTCAGAGCTCTGTCTGACCTTTACCCATTTTTTGGTTTGTTCTAAGATTTACTTATTTATTTTAGAGAGAGCAAGCGAGCATGGGTGGGCGGGGCAGAGGGAGAGAGAATCTCCAGCAGACTCTGCGCTGAGCATGGACCCTGACTTGGGGCTCAATCTCAGGACCCTGAGATCACGACCTGAGCTGAAACTAAGAGTCAGATGCTTAACCGACTGTGCCATTCAGGCGCCCCCCTCATTGTCATTTTTATATTCAGCCTCTCACTACCACTTTCCTTGTTACATTGTAAATTCAGTAGCCGCATTTGTGGAACAGGTGAACTTGAACAGGTCTCTTCTCCTGAGCCCCAGCTTTCCCCTTTCAGACTGGAGATAATACTACAAACTGTTCCGTAGGACTGTTGATGGCTAATCCCGGGCAAGCACCTGGCATTGAGCCAAGCACGCAGTGCGCAGGCAATAAATGGTGGTCATTTAAAAGGCCTCACAGCCTTTTAAAAACAAAGATATTCCAGGTAAAGCTCATCTAAAGTGATCGAAGGGCATAGTGGTTACCCTTGACGGGAGGGCGGCGACTGGGGGTGAGGAGGTCCTGCTGTATTGGTAATGTTTTATTTCTCTCTTTTTTTTTTTAAGATTTTTTTAATTTA